GAAGTCTACGCCATCCGTCGTATGGCCACCAGCCTTGAAGAACCAGGACGAAGCCGAGCTCTCCACCTTCTCAACCAAGCATTGACGTATCGCAACCTCACTCCACCGAAGAGCAATCTTCCCCTGACCATTCCCTTCTTAGCCCACCCCAGTTTCCAATCCGACGTCCAACGCTGGCTCGGCCAGCTCATCAACCACCACAAACACTTTGCCATCCCCCTCCACCTCCCCACGTGCCGAGTACGTGAAGCGGCCCACCCCACACTACGTAGTCGCCTGCGCAACCGCCGGCGATGGGAAACACTATTGGGCAGCCCCCCACACATCAATCAGCTCCCATGTGGGTGGGCCCATCTTCGCACCCTCGTGCTACCCACGTCCCAATTCCCCGATGATGACCACTTGATCGTGACTCTCGCTGATTTACAACTTCCAGTTCACCTCCGTCGTTTTTTGAACGCCGACATGAACACAGCGCTTTCTTTCCGACCAAACATCGCTATTTCGACTCTGTTCGCAAGAGCTTGATCAAATGGCTTCGACATCATGGACTCCCTACCACTTTGTCCCATCACGTCGACGCTTTCCTCACCGCCCAATGGAAACATCGCAATCTCCAACCCATCACGAGGACCGCTTCACCGCCAGATCCGTCAAGCAGTTGCAAGAATTCTTGGGCGACAAAGTTGTCCTTCATCATGCCGATCATGAACTACAACACCTCCGGATCTTCTGCCCCCACATCTACTTTCGTGTGGCGCTCACCAGAACTCTTCCAACCATTGCCAGATGATACAGACCAGACCATTTCCACCATCATTCAACACACCTTTCCCCCACACCTTCGCCAGAAATACAAATGGGGCTTCAACACCAAGTTCAAGATGCCATATCGAGTTGTCCACTTGAAAGCCAAGAAGCAATGGCGCAAAGGTCGCGCCATCATATCCTACTTCAAAACCTGCTACGGCCCACTCCTACGTGTCACCTCCAACATTCTCAATACTATGATTTATCGCCTTCTACCGCAATCACCAGGGCAACTTTCCACTCCCCAACTTTGGCACCACTTACACGACTACCTTCAGCACACACCCGTGTCCGTGGATCTCCATGCAGTCAACGATGATTTGGTAGGCTTCTTCAACTCCGTCCCCCAAGATCGCCTGATCCAAGCTGTCCAAAGCCTTGTCAACCGTTGGCAACACACATTTACCACCCCAACCATCACGGTTGACGCACACACAACCGGAGAGCCAATCCAGCTTGCCCACATTGGCCGTCATCACCGCAAACATCCCACACAACGGACACTGTACGCTGACGACATCGCCACGATTGTCGCCCTAGCACTAGACTCATGTATTTTCAAAGCATGCAACTCATACTTCCTGCAGGTCCGAGGAGCCGGGATTGGCTCTCAGCTCTCGCCGGCCTTGTGCAATGTCGCCGTCGCCCTCATCGAACATTCACGGCGTCAACTTCACCATCCCTTGACCGACCGCGCGGAGATCCACTTCGTCTACTACCGGTGCGTGGACAATCGCTTCATCGCCTTCAATCGCATCTCCCTCAAACACATGGCCATCCAAACGTTGATCCACCCGGACTTCTACGGCAATCCAGTGGAACTCGAACCTGTGGAAGACATGCACCTATTGGCTTTGATGTCGACCTACGTCGACGGACTATCTCCTACATCCCACCGAATGCTTCATGGAAGATACGCGACTATGCTTCAGCTGGATCCACCCGACTACGACTATCCGGTGTACAGTCCAGAGCCCACATCATCCGCAAGTACACCTACCCGTCCTCGGCTGTTGAGCGAGCGCTTGCTCAACTAGCAGACCTATACGTCCAAAAAGGACATGATCTTCGCAGCTGTCGTCAAGCCTTGAGAGGAAAAGTTTACGTTTTCTCCGCTCTTGCTACCCAGCGGATTTCTCCACGCAGAGTGCGCCGTCCCCGGCCCTCTGTGTGTGTCACCACCTGTTTCTAAGGTCCTCGTAACTAGGTTTGGACAAAGGATCGCAGCACTTCATGATACTGGTCCACTACATCTCAGTTTTAAGCAGCAGGGGGTAGCGGCAGATCGTTTGGGACCGCTACCAACGAAGACGCCCATTTGATCTGGTGACATCAGAGTTGGCCACTCTGACGTACCTGCGACCAATTTTTGAACTGTTGAACAAGCTGTCCAATGCGGCGTTGTGCATTAAGGATCTAATGAGCTGAAGAAAACTTGTTATAACACCTTCAATTGATCGGACTTTTCACCTTGCGGTTTGCACTTCCTTCCGTTTCATCAAGTCAAGGACAACTTCATATACTGACAATAGCTCTTGCGAGCAACTCTCTAAGTGTGAGAGTGAGTGGGAGTGTGAGGGAGTGTGAGTGTGAGTGAGAGCGCAAAGTACTGCGCCTGCCACGAAATTTGCACTTCGAGGTTCACCAAGCGCTGTGCCTGCCACGAAATCTGCACTTCGAGGTTCACCGTGCGCTGTGCCTGCCACGAAATCTGCACTTCGAGGTTCACAAAGTGCTGTGCCTGCCACGAAAGCTGCACTTCGAGGTTCACCAAGTGCGGTGCCTGCCACGAAATCTGTGCTTCGAGGTTCACAAAGTGCTGTACCTGTCACGAAATCTGCGCTTCGAGGTTCACCAAGTGCTGCGCCTGCCACGAAATCTGCGCATCGAGGGTCACAGAGTGCTGTGCCTGCCACGAAATCTGCAAACGAGCCACATGTCCAAAGTCACGATTCACTGCGCCTGTCACGAAGTCAGAGCTCTGCGACGATCGCCGCCATATCCAAAGTGCTGCGCCTGCTACGAAAACTGCATGTCGAAGTGAGACAGCTCCGATGCGCGAAAAGTCGACTTTGGAGCACCGAAACACGAGGTTTCCCTGGCGCCTGCCACTAAAAGTGACCACCGTGTACCAAAATGCGCACGGCGCCGCAACGAGAATGCAGTCGCTAGAAGCACCCGCCGCCGGCAGGCAGATTTTGCGAGCTTGCGCAGTCGAAGTGCACATTGACGATATCGAGAACCATGAATATGTATTGTAAATAGCAACGAATTAGCCGGCGAGTGGCTCGGTGGGTCCTCCAGCAACAGTATTTTCGCCAAGACCCAAAACGAGAGTTCACGATACCAACGCCAAGCTCAACGGCCAACGAACGGGCTTCATCGCCGTGCAGATTCCGGCTCTCAATTGAAGTTACATTCGTGCTAACCAGCTGTCAATTTAAGAGAATCAGCTGTCTATGTTGGAGGCTCAACCACGTCTAATTGCATTTTGCTGAAGCTGCTGAAGCTGCTTTGCTTTGCATTTTGCTGGAGCTGCCGTTCTGCAGATGTTTCCAATCCTGATGCCAGGAAGACACAGCCCGAAATCTCAAAGCAGTGGCTGCACACAGAGTCTACAGCTATACTTGGAGCTAACAGCTGTGGAACACTGACTACTTTCTACTTCTCTCTACTCTGGCTGGTGTGATCTCTCGGAGTTTCACAAACTTTTGGCTGAGCATGAGTCTGATGTATGCACACAAAGGCCGTACCCGCAACACTTGGTTCGTTTTGGGAAACACTACAGGAGCTGTGTTTTTGTGGCAGAACAGTCCTAGGACACAGGCGCCAGAGTGAAACCTATGCCAACACAGTATGAACAGCTGTCACATAACCATCCCCTGGAGCAATCATTTTGTGAAACATAGGCTACATGGGAAGTATAAGATAAATTATTGCTCCACCATGCTCCACCAATTTGACATGCCTTCTTCCTATGACTTGCCTTACCATCAAGTTTAGTGTCTGCTTCACTTTAGTCTTTCAGCTAGGAAATTTCAAATGCCTTTCCGGCTTGATGACTTGGAGGATTTTGGGCGGTCAGTCAGTGTTATCAAAAAGAGCTATCAGAGGCCCATGGGCTAGATAATTTTTCCAGCAGCTGCTTGCATTCGTTCCCTTTCATGCGGGCGAGAGATGTTCCAGCTGGAAATCAACATCATCCAAGCTGAGGTACGGAGAGGGTCTCGTTGTGGGAGACAGTGGAGCTTGCTACATGGTAAACATGTTTGTTCAACATAGAGCAGATTCTGTCTGAATTCTGGAAGTATGTAAGTGCACACTAGTTACTAATGCTTTTGGTGATTCTTTGCAGAGTGTGAAGCAGGCGCAACTCACCTGCCACTGGCAAACCACTCACCTGCCACTGTTTCGCATCCATTTCAAGTTTTGATAGACCGAATTTAATTTGTGCAGGCTCAGAGAGGACTATGTCTCCACCTCCAGAGGACGGTGTATTCCTCTACATGGTGCCAAGGGGTGTTTGTGAAGCGTATCTCGTCTCTGGCCAGCAATGAGTGTGGCTCGTGGCAGAACATGTTTTTGCTGCAAGGCTTGAATCAAATCAACTTGTTTCATGTTTTTGTGGCTCCATGTCGTTTATTGTAAATTAGGAGGAGGCTGGGGAATTAAACCTTGAGAGAGACTGCCGTGCCAGCATTGTGGGGGAGGGCAAACTGGACGAGATCTAGGAAAACCTTGATTGTTGAATCGCAAAACAGCTAGGCACCAAAACGTGGTAAGAGAACATGCCGCAGTGCAAAAACCAAAACAAAGGCAATTGTTTAAAGGTCAAAGACGCAGAAACCAGGCTTTAAGTTTGGCGTGTATTTTCTGACGCGCCCACAAAATAGGATGGATCGAGCTTCTGTAGGTATTTTCTCACAGTCAGATCTCGCCCAAGTATCTCAGAGCTCTTCAGGAAAGCATCCAATACTAGCTTCATGTGGACGGCACTTTTGTTTATGTTTTTTGGTTGTCTGTTTGTTTGTCTGGCTATCTCTTTTTGTTTGCTTTCTTGTCAGTTGGTTATTGTTTGTTTTTTGCTTGTTTGGTTCTTTGTGTATAGTTTTCTATTGCTGGAACGCCTAAAAGGATTGCGGCATTCTTTCTTCTCACTAATGATGGCCCAGGTTTGACCTCATGTTTCAATGAATGTCTTTAATACGCTCACCGTTCAGTTATTGAACATTTTTACCTTCCATGTTTTTCTTTGTTGGTTCACAACATTATTGAAGTTTGCGACGCTCATGAACAGGTGTTTACAAGAACTGTGTTTTTATGCGCATGGTTCAGCCGAGGAAGGAGGACGTGGTCGAGAAACAAGAATATACTTTTTGTCATTGGTCCCTGGACTCACCTCAGCTGCTCGCTCTGCACGCTCGAATAAATATGTTCATGTGCTTGCTGCTGGACTGAAAATCGAGCACTTCGAGTAAAACAATTTTTTTGATTCTATCAACTAAGGATGACATCAATGATGTTTCTCGGTTGCGTTCTGATGTGTTCAGATTTGAGGGGACATCTTCTGGAGTTATCATCATTATTGATTATGACAATGATCTCTCTCAGTTGCAAAATGCCTTGGACCTTCCCTGCAGCCAAACCATTAGGATCTAAGGGACGGATTTGGTGACATTCAGCTTTCCAACGTCTCAGGAGGATGGCTTCCAGCTGGATGTTTTGCACTTGAAGAAGGAAACACAAAAATCAATCAAACACTATTTCTTTAGGGTTGCTTCTCGGTGGTTGTTGACCCCAGGATGATGGTCGGTGTGGAGGACTCCCTACTGTGGAAAATGGTAGTGGGATTCTCCAAGATTCTTCAGGACAGGTGTGGCGAGGTTCACAAGCATGCACACATACAAAAACAATCAAAAACACAGAAACCATGCTTTACAGCGTTTCTGGCTGGTGAAAATAAAAAACATGTGAGTAGCCCCCTGTGGCGTGGAGAAAACTAATCGAGAGCAAAGCAGACAATGTCCTTTAGGCAAAGGCAGCAACAGGTTGCACTAACACTAACCCAAGCAACAAAGTCAACGCTTTACAATCTTTCAACTCAACGCGATCAGGCAAAACACATGTTGCGCACCACAGGCAGCAAATGTGTTTAGACATTATGCTAGTCTCCTAGTGCCTATGGCGCAGGGATGAGTTAGCGCCAGGTAGGCGTAGCCAAAACCTTTAATGGACACAGAAGATATCTCAATTTGGTTGCGCATGCGTACATAGGCAAATGTTGTAGTTCTGTGCACGCAGTACACGCGCACACTGCGACACCAAATCAGAAAGTGAGAAAGTCTGTTGTCAGCCAACTTTGGTTCAAACAGGGCCGGAGGTGGAAACATGGCACAGGTTGGGAACTTTTGTCCCTGTAACCTGGTAAATCAAGGGTTTTCCGCCGCAATGAGACTGCGCCAACTAGACGAACCGGAGAAGCCTGTACTTTGGACTTTGAAATCAAGAGAAGCGCAAGAGAAGCGATTAGGCTTCTTGGTTGCATAGGATCCATATTTTGCTCACACATGATTCAATATATGTTGTTTTGTTCACTGGTGACATTTCTTGGTTGGTTTGTCACTTTCTCCAATTTGCAATTAGCTTTTGAGGAAAGCTATGGCTATATGATGGTGACTTTCCAGTCGGGCGAGACTACCAAGAAATTCCATGGGAAAAGGGTGATAATGCTACATGTCTCAGGGATTGGAAGGCCCTCCGATACAACTTCAAGTGGCAGTGGCAGCCGGTGAGTCCATATGATTTTGCAAGACAGGGCCTGCTTTGTGGTCTCTTTAAGCACCACGACCATGATTTGTTTTTCATATTGCGAGTGTTGTTTGCTTTGCATTTGAGACCGGCTAAATACAACTTCTTGAGCCTGCTACTGTCAACTAACTAAGGGCGTCGATGAGCAATCAATCATTCTATGGATGGTCTATCCATTGTGCAGGAAGTGACATGTTCAAACCCTTGGGGGGTGATGCTGCTGTATGAGCGAGCGCAGCCACCGAACAAGCCCGAGCTGTGCTTGATTTGGTATCGGTTGCGACAAGAGCCTGCAACCGATGAGTCCCTTGAAGCTGAGGAGGATGGGGAGCATTCCCACCATGCGATACAAAGCACATTCTGAGGAAAGCTCTTGACGAATGGCCGCAAAGCGTGCTGGGAGCAACTTGGCGCCCAGTTGGTTTTGTGAAGCTCTTTCCTGTTTTGCAACCAATGGTTGGCAATGGCCCTGGCCCCTCTGTTTGAGGTTCATCCGTGATCTTCCTGAATGGTGCTGTGTCGAGGACCCTAGTGGCTTGAGACAGGCTGGAATGACGCTTGAAAAAAGAGCAGCTCCTGCGCACGGTTGATCTACATTTTACATGGGTTGCTGAGAACGTGTTGCTGTGAACCATATTGCGTTCACTTTACACCAGTCACCAGTACAATCAAAGCCATTTCGGCTCAACAAAAAGAAACGCCCAGCGAGCAAAGGGACGCTCAAACGTCCCGCCGTCCAAAAACCCTTGATTGACTCTGGCTCAGACGAGTGTCAGGCCAGACTTTCCAAAACGAAACAATTCCAAGATGTTCACTTTGCAAAACAAAACCGCTGCACAGTATGGTGTCAGATTATACCAAGATGAGCCAGATGAAATTGATACCTCGCGCTCCTCAGATGAAATCTTTATGTATTCTTTTGCTTTTGTCAATTGAATTTTGATGACCCGATTCTAAGGTTCCAAAAGGAGAAAAATTGGTGTCTGGGGTGATTTTGATGGTGATGGTTAATTTTAATCCAGACCTCCGACTCCTCACACAGATGGGAACTCCGTGACCTGACTGATGATATAATGTGTTCATTTTACATTGGACAATGATCTCCGCCCATCAAGAAAATTAGGCCTTCACATCCCAAATCCTTCGACGGGCTTTGGAATTGGCCAGATACCTTGCTGAGCCGCTTTGAGCATCTTGCCTTCAATTGACTGAATGATAAAGTCAGTCCAACCATGATGTTTATTGAAAATATTGCTTTGGCTCATTACATTTTCATTGATAGCAGGATTCTCTATGGAGAAAGCTATGTCCGTGAACAGCTCCGCAAGTCGCGCGTTGAGTGGGATATGTGGTTCACAGGAGCTGCTGACTTCCCAGGGTCAGCTTTGCAACAGATTGCAGGGGCAGTCAAAAAGAGGTGACTTGGGATCAAAGCATTTGTCCTTTCCTTGAGTGCTGTTAGTTAGGGCTGTTTGGGTTTTCACTGACCAAGGTATGGGTTTGACCTGGCATTCTCTCATGGAAGCGCCTGTGATATCTCCAAGCCGTCCCAAAAGTTACTCAGATAAGTTAAATATGTTTGACTTTCCGGAAATCATATGGTTATCTGAGGTTCATATGTGCCAACTATCCTCAGCGCTGCGTCTTCAAGGATATCTTGGACTTTGTACAGGATGCAAACAAGCCCAGAGATCAAATGACTCTTGAAGCTCAGCTGGGCAATCTGTCGTTTTTGATCATTGCCAGCGCCATGTCTATTTTGTGGATCTGAGGTGGATCATGCACACTGCATCGTCCACACCAGCAATTGCCCTCGGAAATCTGATGTGAAACCTGGGTGGATGAAAGGAGCTTGTGATGGACCACCATGTGTCCTTTTCAGCAAGAGTCTTGGTACAACAACAGTTGCGACAATGAGGTCTAGATCAGTGTGTCACACTCATGCTGCAATTTGAGGATGGGAAAAAAAGGGCTCAGCAACGTCGCCAAAAGAAAATGTCATGACGTGGATGTGAAAGACAGGCTGGACCAACGGATGCTTAGCTATTACTGTATTTGCATTAACTTTTTTGGCTGTGTGTGGCAATTGTGTTTTTGCTGAGGCGGCATTCGTTCGTACAGTGTTTCGCTGAGGCCACACATCATGATCCATGAGAATGTCAAAGATTTACCTGGACCATACTTGGAAGAGCCCTTCAAAGCTAGCGGATATGGATATGACTCTACGTCAGCGGTGGGGAAAGCCAATGAACAGGCACATGCCATGCAGTATTGAATGGTCAAGCGCCTCATGTCTTCACATTCATTCATTTCGTTTCTTGGTGAGGCTGCGCGTATTCCGTATCTTCTGGAGATTGGATGCTTTGGAGTGGCATGGTCCAAGTCTACGTGAGAAGCTTGTTGCTCCTCAGACTGATTTGCCACTGTCCGCCAATGCAATGTATTGGCTGGACAAATCTGGGGTGGACCTTTGGCTTGTCAAGGGTGTTTGTTTTCAAATGTGTGTTTTCTAATGTTGCATATGTTGTGGCTTTTGAGTTTTCTACTGTTCTTGGCTCTGTCGCATTGAGGTGCAGCGGTGTGGATCATCTGATATGTTCGAGACCCAGCTCTCACCTTCTGCAGCACAGTTCAAGGAAGACTATGAGAAGCACCACGGTCAAGCTGAGATTTGGGTAGCTTGGCTCAGGTGACAAGGCACAAACATAAGTAAACGCAAAGCGCAAGCAGAAACAAAAAGAAACAAATAAAAACTGATCCAGCTTAGGACTACATTCACCACTTCCAGTGGCTGCCTGTTGAGCCCTCATACTTTTTGATGCCTGTGGAACATTTTGACAGCGTGTAGTGTGTGTGGCTGACACCCCGCTTTCAGGTGGTCAAAATCCTTGAAGCGCTGGTTACTACCAGATGAGATGCTGGCGATCATGGGCCTACCCATTACCAAACGTCAAGCGGATTTGGCTAATGTGGTGAAGCCTGCCCAAATAGACGTGCTTCCAGATACAGCGAAGGTGGGGTATTGTTTGCCCTTTTATTGAACAAAAACATGAACTACTTGAGTTCCAGGTGGTATTGAACAAAAAAATGCCATATTTGACTTTCAGGTTCAGCTTGCTGGAAATGGTATGGACACTGCATCAATTGGATTTTGCCTCCTTTGTGTGGGCCTGACCTGTTTCAGCCACGCGGGTGTTTGAGTTTTCTGAGTGGTTTAATTCTTTTTGAATCTTCTTGCCAGGCCATGCTTGCATTGCGTCCAACAGGAGCGTCAATGTCAATCACAATGTTTGGCGCCAGCTCCTTTTTGGACGGGCAGGACGCCCGCAATAGTTGCGCAAGATCCAAAACAAGTCCTGACCTTGGTGACTACTGTTGCTGCTTCTTCACTTTGTGGCAACGAACATGAGAAACAATAACGCTGACTTAGATGTGCCCTGATTCTTGTCTCAAGTGAACCAGTTGCTCCAGAAGCTTGAGTGCATAGTGCTACGGCTATCCACCCGGTCATCCAACTCAATTCAGTTCCAAACAATTGGCAAGCCGTTTCATTCCTTCGTCAGAGAATCGCTCTTTTCAATTTCTTTCCTTTGCTCTCGAAGGGGTCTGCTCACCGCCAATGCATGCCCAGTCTGTTCGGCGACGAACCCCCTGAGCGTGACGCACTGTTTTTCGACGAGCCAGATGAACAGGATGACTATGATGACCATCTACTTCACTGTTTCAAGATGAGCCGGATGAAGTTGACCGTCCCAACATAGCCAGTGCTGGATTCGATGGGTCTTGCAAGAACATAGCTCCAAAAGCAACACCTGCCTTATTCCAAGATGAAGGCGTGGAAATTTCAGATGGGGCCGGCGACTCCGATTCTGCGTAAGATGCTGACGTTGACGGTGATACATCCGACGCGCAAAGGACTTTCTTTGACATGTCGCTCAGACACTTAACAATTTCCTCACGACCAAGCTCTGCAAGTCTTCCTCTGAAGTTGGCGTGTCTACAGAACAGCCCAAGAAAAAACGCTTTTATGACAATTCTGGGCGGGCAGAGGCAGCAGCAG